TAAGTAAAACTAGCTAGACTAGAAGATATTGTCATTTGAACATGGGAGAAAAGATAAAAGGTGTTCATTATATAATATGATAATGGGAAGAAGGTATAAGAAACTCTATAATGTAAGAAGAAATGCTTATAGTTTGCAAAGACTCTCCAGATTTGGCATCTCATTTACCTTTAACTCTCCAGTTTGCCAAGACTTCGAGCTGTCATAACCGAAAATATATATATTTCTCAGTTTGTTGCAGCTTCTTACATGAACAGCTCTGAGGTTGGGAAATAAAACATGTCCATTTTGAACATTTACTGACATCCCTTCAAGTGTTTCTCCAATGATTCTTTCCAATATGGTACACCCCACAATTTTGAGCAGCAAAGGATGGGAATACATATCTCAAGTTGTTAGAACAACTAATCTCAACGGCAGTTTTGTATTATAATTGGAGGTTTGCCCTCAGTAGTAAGCGGTCACTTAAATCCCAGATTTTGGTCAGTGAAAGCAAATTATGCAACTGGATCCTTTTGAATGCCCTTGAGTTTGGATAACATACATACATTCATTTGCATCTCCTGTCAAAAGAGTGTTCGATTCTACCCATATGTAAAATTGAGTTGTACTGATTTTCATGGTCGGATTACAGATTCGGCATAACCCACTAACTTTTACTCATATCATATATTGTATTAACAAATTCACTTAATTTTATCCCGAACCCAGAGTTATTATATCTAAGCATTTAAAATCCATAAACTTAAAATTCTTGCTCCACCGATATTTAAGTCCACCAAAGTGGTTTGAGGGGATGAGCCTGAAACTTTAAGTGTACATGTGCAAAACAAGCATGGAGGGAGTAATTTCAATGACACTGTATTTGATACCATGGCTAGTGAGACATAGTTTCTTCCGGTGAAAAACATTTTCCAGAAAAAACCTCTCTGTCCAACACTCTAAAATTTAGAAACCATTTCAAATGACTTGATGGAGGAAAACATAAGTGAAGAAAATATTTTTCCCTTTTAATGAAAAATGTTTATTGGTGTTTAATTGGTTGCATGATTAATATCTTTTCTGTAATGTCACGTCGATGGAATTATAGTAGGAAAGGAAACATAAGAGCCTATAGTTTAAATACGTAAAATTCGGGTCATTTTGATCACGCTCAACTCTAGTCCTGAAAATGATAAGCGGTCGCTGCAAATATAACCATACTTATGAGTCCAGGGTCGAATCTCACAGAGAACTAAAGCTTAGCTTTAGTTATTTAACATCACTAAGAAAAAAGTTCAAACAATTTTCGAGTGATAAAGATTAAGATTTTTGTTTTAAACTACTTATTAACTAAAAAAATACAAAAATAATAAGATTATCAACTAAAGAGAAATATGTGAATTGAAGAAAAAAAAGCGTAGGATTATGATTTCCTCAGTTATCAGGATAAATGCATAACGTGTTCACTATAATTACGCCGCTTTATTCTCCATTGATCGTGAGTTCTCCTGTTACAACAATTATCTCTCAATCAAAAGCAGTAATTTTCTAGAATTATTCTCTCGAACTAACCCAGCTAGCAATTCAAGCGACTCACAAAGATCGTGCCAAAACTTCGTTATCTCTAATTTTACTTTTAAATCCAAATAATTAATATCTTAACTTACTCAAAAGTGACACCGTTCAACAACAACCTAATCAAGTATTCTTTTTCAAGCAACACATGATATATAGGCACAGTTAATCGATGGTCATTCAATTAACAACAAGCAAAACGTAGTTGAACAAATAGATTATAAAAATGATTCATTATAAATAAGCATGGTCAATAATTCACCCAATAATTGATTCCATCAAATCCCTAGAAGAAAAGTTTAGCTACACATACTATTACTCAAAAACACATAAACAATTGTCAGACCAAAATTCATAGAAATAAAGATAGAGAAGTAGAGAAAAACTCTTTGATTTGTCTTGTGGAATGGACTTGAGGATCTTTCTGGCTCAATTTTACTTCAACAATAGTGTTCCTTGCCTTCTCAGGCCCAGAATGCGGCTTAAATAAGAGTTAGAAGCTTATATATTACATTCCAAAGCCAANGCTATCCAAGATTCAGATTCAGAGTCATCATTCATGTACTATCCTTCTATATTGAAAAAAAATGATTAAAAATCTCAATATTCTAAGGAAATTTAATTTTACGAAATGACTCAGATGTACATTATCGAGTATTATCCTCCTTGGTTGAGACAATCCAGCTTTTGAGTTGAAAAATTTAAGAATGATATTTGAATGAAACTTTTTTCATAAAAGCATTTATAAGTAAATTCTCAATAATAAGACGTATATTCTTTTAGAAAAGCTCGATTACACTATTCTTTTAGGGAATCCCCCCCCAACCCCCAACATTAACGCTTAAATAATAAGAAGAAAAAAAAGACAGTTATTTTAGTTGTTTGGTCTTTGATTGGAAGAACTTTTTAATTATTGATTTATGTTATAAATAGAATTTTATTTAAGGTGAATGTCTATATTTTAGAGAGATTCTAGGGATTATTATTTTATGGCTAAGTCACTCTTTTCCTATAAATAGAGGGGTTCTATTTCATTGTAATTCATCTCAAATCAATAGAATTCTCTTTCCCTTTTCTTTGCAATATTCTTCTATTGTTTTATTTCACGTTATCAGTACGAGACTCTACCGTCTCAAGAAGCTCTTTGAGAAGACTAAGCAAATATGAATATCTCACAAAGCAAACTTGAATCAAAGTTCAATAGTAAAAATATTTATTTAATTGATTCATGTACGACTTAACCAATCCACGATTTAACCAATCCTAAGATTCATGAGGAAATCACTGAGCCTGAGACTCAAATAAATAAGGAACTATCAATAAACTCAATCGATATTGAGACAAATTTGAACCGATTGGATATAATAGTGGATTATGTCTTTGCATATATTGTTACATCTAGCATTATTCAAGATAGTGAGGATCTTGAACCTCAATCTATTGGAGAATGTCACCGAAGACGTGATTGGCCAAAATAGCAAGAAGCAATCCAATCTGAGTTGGATTCACTTGCGAAACGTGAAGTTTTTGGGCCTGTAGTCCAAACACCTAATGGTGTTAAACCTGTTGGTTATTAATGGGTCTTTGTACGTAAGAGAAATGAAAAAAATGAGGTACAAAGATATAAGGCAGACCTTGTTGCACAAGGGTTTTCACAAAGGCATGATGTCGATTATGAAGAGACATATTCACCTATTATGGATGCAATAACATTTTGTTATCTCATTAGTTTTGCTGTCCATAAAAAGCTTGACATGCATTTAATAGATGTGGTTACCGCGTACTTTTATGGATCACTTGATAATGAGATATACATGAAAATTTTCGAGGGATTTAAAGTGCCTGACGCACATAATTCAAAGTCTTGGGAAATGTGTTCAATCAAATTGCAAAGATCTTTGTATGGTCTAAAGCAATCAGGACAATGTAGGATAACCGTCTTCATGAGTATTTATTAAAGGAAGCTTATATAAATGATGCCATTTGCCCGTGTGTTTTTATAAAGAAAACAACATCGGAATTTATTGTACTTGCCATATATGTTGATGACATAAACCTTACTGGGACTCTTATAGAACTCCAAAAGGTAATTGAATATTTAAAGAAGGAATTCGAGATGAAAGATCTCGGAAAGATAAAATTATGTCTCGATTTGCAAATTGAACATTTGGCAAACAGGATTTTTTTTATCAATCTGCCTACACAGAAAAGGTATTGAAATGGTTTTACATGGATGTAGCACATCCATTAAGTACTCCAATGGTTGTTCGATCACTTGATATGAATAAGGATCCGTTCCGATCTCAAAAAAATAATGAAAAGCTACTTGGTCCTGAAGTACCATATCTTAGTGCAATTGGTGCCCAAATGTATCTTGCTAATACTACAAGGCCTGGCATAACTTTTTCAGTTAATGTCTTAGCAAGATATATCTATGCTCCTACAAGGAGACATTGGAATGGAATCAAACACATATTGCGGTATCTAAAAGGGACTACCGATATGGGCTTATTTTATGGTAATAATTGTAGTCCCGATCTTGTTGGTTATGCCGATGCTGGGTATTTATCCGACCCACATAAGGCTTGATCTCAAATATGCTATGTGTTTACATGTGGAGGCACTGCCATATCTTGATGATCGACTAAGCAATCAATCGTAGCTACTTCATCTAATCATGCTGAGATAATTGCTATTCATGAAGCAAGTCGAGAATGTGTATGGTTGAGGTCTGTAATACATCTTATTTGAGACAAATGTGGTTTGAAGTGTGACAAACTACCCACGATTTTGTATGAAGAGAATGGAGCATGCATAACCCAATTGAAGAGAGGATTCATAAAAGGAGATATGACAAAGCACATTTCACCAAAGTTATTTTTCACCCATGATCTTCAAAAGAATGGTGATATCAACGTGCAACAGATTCGTTCAAGAAGCTAGTGTACAAGATTGGGATGCGAAGGCTCAATGATGTGAATTGATGCTCTCATCAGGGTAGTTAATACGCGTTGTACTCTTTTTCCCTTGCAAGGTTTTGTCCCACTTGATTTTTCTTGCAAGGTTTTTAACGAGGCAACCAAATGGCGTATTTCTAAACATGTGTACTCTTTTTCCTTCACTAGAATTTTTTTCCCACTGAATTTTATTTTTAGTTAAGGTTTTAACGAGATACATTATCTGTTGAATAGACATTCAAGGGGAGTGTTATAAATAGAATTTTATTTAAGGTGAATGTCTATATTTTAGAGAGATTCTAGGGATTGTTACTTTGTGGTTAAGTCACTATTTAAATAAATGTGTTCTATTCCATTGTATTTCATTTCAAATCAATAGAATTTTCTCTCCCTTTTCTTTGCAATATTCTTCTATTGTTTTATTTCAATTTATTAAATTTACACTAATTGTTTTGGTTAGTAGCATCTTTTACTATCTTAAAGCCAAAACAAAAAAACCCCATCTTTTCTTATCTGCGTTTCGAGGGGTTCCTAACAGAAAAGTCAAAACTCGGTGCTTCTTCCAAATTCCACAGAAACTCAGAGAGAAGTAGAAGAAATGGGAGAAGGAGGAGAAGATCCACAGAAACTGAAGAAAATAGCAGCGGCAGCATACGACTACGAGAACGATCCGAGATGGGCAGATTACTGGTCCAACATCCTCATTCCTCCTCACATGGCTTCCCGTTCCGACGTCGTCGACCACTTTAAGCGCAAATTCTACCAAAAATACATCGTCAGTATTCTCTTTCTTTTTTTCTTCTTCTAATTTACTTGTACAGTACTTTATATATATATATATATATATATATGCCCCTTTCAAAGTGGGTTCGAATAGAGCGGAATGTATGTGGAGTATTTATATAGCCCACCTCAGCTAATTTGGGATTGGGTCGAAGTTGATAAGTGATACTAATTGATTGAGTTGTATATTCTGATATTCAAAATCATTGGACTTCAGATGCGGTTTAGTGGGAACTTTGTTTGCTACTCCATATTTTATTTAATGTCTATCAGTTAATTTAGAAGTCCTAATTAATGTGTTAATCTCGTTTATTGTTGTTTACACTTTGTGGTTGTCCTACTTTTAATTGCTTTTCGTCATTTCTAGTTTTGTCAAAAGTGTATAGCCGATTTCAAGTTGAGATGAAGTTGATTGTTCAAGTGTACTATGGATTGAGTTATTTGGATATTAGCATGTAAATCTCAGTTGTTCTGATCAAAGTTCAGGGCTTTCTACTAAAAGATTCCAACAATTTCATAATTAAGATGAGTTTTTTTTTATCTTTTCGTCAAACTCCATTTAACTAGCATTACTTTCTCTTTCCCTGTTCTTATTGCTGTGGTGCAGCATGAAATTCACTCAGGTTTATTTTTTCTCATGGAATCTTTTTGTCTGAATGTTGTACTTTATTTTAATATACTACTTTTTTTTCAATTTAATTGTTGAATAGGTGCATCGGACTTCATTTTCCTTCCTACTGTTCAAGCTTAATCTCATCATATTCCCACTTTTATTGTACCCTTGAGTACATTGACTTCCCAAAATTGGGGCTTCTAGAAATTTAGCGGAGAATGTTGATTCTCATTTTTTTCCTCCTCTCAAGCTCTCCCCCCCCCCCAGGGGCGGCCTGACCCTAAAGCAAGTGAAAGCCCCAAAAATTTAAGGGCCCCAAAATTACTATTTCTCTGTATATAGTAGTATATTATTTTATATAATTATCTCTTATTATTGATAAATTTATTTCTTTATTGTCATATTATTTTTTAAACTCGATTTCTTCCTCTAATTAATATAACTAAAATAGTTTTCCGTCAATCTTATTTTACTTTTTTACTTAATTATCACGTAACTATATCTATTAATTTAATTTATTATTTATTTTTCTTACATAAATTATACTCGCTCCGTCCCAATTTATATGAAAGTGTTTGACTGGACATGGAGTTTATGAAATAAAGGAAGGCTTNGGTGTTAATTTTTCTGTGCCTTTAAGTGTTTTCTTCACTCATTCCTGAGGTATAGTACTGTCTTCACTTTCAGGTAATATAATGGTTTAACTCTTTAGTTGTCTATCATTTGAGATTGTTGCTGAATGTATATTTATTTCACTTGATCTTTTGAGTACTTAATCCTCCATTTCCTAGAGAACAGATGAAAATTCAAAAGTGGTGTCCTATTAGATAACAGTGTGGAAATGCTCTTAGGTTCCTAGCAATGTGGAATGATACCATTGAGAGATTTTTAATGCACAATAATAATAAAGTGGGAAATCAAGTTCAAGTTCTTGTAGCACTTCTGCTTTTTTGATGGACTCTTGAGCTTCGTTGTACTAAAAATACAATTTCAGATGTCCGAAGTGGGGCACGTCTTTACATTTTTATGTTGATCTTGAGATGTTGCTTTGGCGCTTTGGTTTCATTTGATAGTGTATCTTTGTCTTCAGGACCCTGGTCTAGTGGTTGAGCCAATGACTACCAGCAATTCATCCCAACCAGCAAGGCCATCACCCGCGCAACCTTCATCTTCGTCGTCCACAACTTCTAATAACCAGCCAAGACAACGTAACTCTGGTATGAATTTCTTGCTGAATTTTGAATAAATGGAGAAGTGCCCGATCTTTTGGAGTACATCGTTACTTGAAATATATTTTTTTGTTTCTTCTAAATGCATTTTATATGTATTCTTAATAGGACCAGCTAGTAGAACTTCTGGGACGTCATCAACCCCAGCTTCAAATCCAACATCACTTCGATGGGACCGACATACTATACAATTTTCAGTGAATGCTTGGGTACTGTATATTTGCACTAGAGAAATATATGAATCATTTTCTTTTTAACTTCAACACCATGAGTTCTATAGAAATTCATGGTTTTAGTCTGGAATATCAAGGTTTTTCCTGTATGGTAGTAGATCAAATGGTCAACTCATTATTAGCAAAAAGGGATAAGGTCGGGTATATATTGCAAGGATGGGACCATCATTCCTTTAGAATAATACTGTCTCTTGATGCAGTGCACATGCCAGCTTTTTGTAGTAGTGGATGCCTTCTCTATGGGTATGGGTGTGTATATGGAAAAATTCAATATAGAATTATTTCTTTTTCCAACGCTCTTCTACAACCTTGATCTCAATTGATTTATCATTTGATACCTGTGGGTCAGGGGTGTAAATATGAAAAAGATAAGTAGAAAAATTGTGAGGAAAAGCTTGTTTTATTATCAATTAGAAATAACTCTGCATCATAGCCTTTCTTTGTTGAGATTACCTGTATATAAAAATTAAGTTTATGGTTATAAGTTATTCTGGTGATTAGATCTATACAAAGCTTGACTCAAGCACGACTGTGTCAAATTTTCTAAATAAGTACTTTAGCCTAGTTCCTTGGTCTTTTTAAATGTCATGGTACATTAATTCTTTCTGATACTTAACCTCCCCCCCCAACCCAAAAAAAAAAAAAATAAAAGAAGAAAAAGAAAAAAAGAGGTTCTTTGTGGTCTTCAGAAGGGTGGGGAAGCTTCGTCCGTTGCATAGGTCGGATGTGTAGTTAAAATTGTTTGCAAAGACCTCTCCTTAACTTGTGGGTCAAAGTTAATAGAAACTCCTCTCGTCATTTTGCTTTTCTAAGGTTGATTTTCTTCGAATCATTTCTTTTTTCCTGGTGCTCTCTCTTGCATCTTTGAACTTCAGTCTGAGACTTACAGGACTAGATTTTGATGATCGTATTTGACACTCTTAAATTGGTCTTAACTCAAATTACTTAGTTCTTAAATTGCTTATGGTACTCTTTTCTGCAGGTTTTTGTTGTGGCAGTTCTCGCAGTTTTTCCGCTTACACCTACAATTCTGTCAAACAGAGCATATCGATTGTCCTTTTTGGGAACTGCATGTTCTTCCTTATATTCATTATACTCATTATATGGGGTAAAAAAAATTTCTAATTTATTTTTTCAACTTCATACCTGAGATCAGTTTTTGTCCTTTGGAGTTTGGGCAATGCGGCTACTTCTAATAATCTAGTAACTTTTTGTAGAAGCCAAGGGCTTGGAATTTGCAAGCAGTGCAAGTTTGGTTGCAGTCAGTGATTGTGACAAAAGATTTCATCTACTTCATTTACTGCCTTACTTTTGTAACTTCCCATCTTTACCTGAAATGTAAGCTTGACTCCTGTCTGTTTTTCTTTTGCCGCTGTTATTTTATTAATAAATATTAGCTGTGTAAATTCATTCAGTAATATATTCATGATCAATGATTTGCAGTTGCTTTGATTCCTGTTTCATGCCGAGCACTTGAACATGTCGCGAAATTCCTGCGACGTAACTTCAGCACATCTTCTTTGTACAGGTAAAATACTGTTTAATTAAGTTACCAAAGAAAGTTAAAGCTGTTTTTCTTATCATTTGAAACCAGCAATCGGGAGAAAAGCAGTACAGGTATCCTACTAAATAACTAAATATAATTATAAAAAGCATTACAGTATCCTATTAAATAATTAAATGTAATTATACTGCAGGAATCTTTGATGTTCCAACTGCTGTTGTGGTTTCATATTGCTTAGTGAAATATATCTGATATATTATGGATAAGACTAACATGTAGCTAACCTGCAATTGTGAAAGCTCAGAATGAAATTGTATATTATCTTCTCTTGCAAATTTATCATATATGTGAAGTTGTGAACATTCTAGCTGTATATGACCATTTTCCTTCATGTCAAAACATCGAAAACTTCGTACATTTTTATTCAGTGTAAATCACTTGGGTGAATGTTATTATTTGGTTCCCCCACCCCACCCCACCCCACCCAACCCACCCCAACACACAATGCTGTTGAAGGTAGATTGGTTGTTTTGGATTTTTTCCATGACTGAAAATTTGTCGACCGTCTACAGGAAGTACTTGGAAGAGGCTTGCGTATGGGTTGAGTCAAACGTAACTACTCTTAGCATACTGTCTTCACAGGCTGAGATTGGGCTGGGATTTCTTCTAGTTGTCTCTCTATTATCGTAAGTCTCTCAACCTTTTTTTTTTTTTAAATCCTGGCCTGTGCCAGTGCTTGTTATGATGTTATCTTCCTGGACATTATCATTTTGGTTTCTATTGGCTTATAACTATTTGTATTCATGAAAATTCAGGTGGCAGCGTAATATTATACAAACATTCATGTACTGGCAGGTTTGTCTTGTCCTGTCATTTTCACTTTTGTATCTTCAGCATCTTTTGCCATTTAAATAAATTGTTTCTTTGATATAAGCGAATGTGAGAAATTGTGAGTTATGTTACTTCTTTCTTCTCTCTATATTGTTGTTCCAGCAAGCATTTCTTCCTGGAATGGAAGAAATATATTCGACAAATAGTTGGATGGTGCAACGCATTGGGTTGGGCATGCACCTATTTATTACCCACCCATATCCAACCTAGCACACCTTTTGCCACCCCTACAAACTGTGACAACTTCATGAATCAGAGTTTAAACTTGATGAAGTGTTATGTGTTACTCTAGGCCGCTTCTATACCCACTTTTTGGATAATGGGCTTGCCTTCTATTCTTCTCTACTTAAATACCAAGCTTTCGCCTAGCTCACAAATCATGTGTTGCACGCTAGCCATTGAACCAAAAGCCCTAGGATCCTTGTTTCCCATTGTGTTGGGAGTACAACATATTAGTTCATTTTAGTGACTATTATGCAACTCTTTGCAGCTATTGATGCTTATGTACACCGCATTGCTTTGTTACAATGACTATAATGCAGACTCTTTGCAGCCTATTGAAACTGTCATAAGTTTGTTATAATGACTATTATGTAACTCCTTGCAGCTATTGAAGCTTATGTATCATGCTCCTGCCACAGCTGGTTACCATCAGAGTGTGTGGGCTAAGATTGGGAGGCTTGTAAATCCTCTTGTTCAACGATATGCCCCGTTCATGAATACTCCTATTTCTACTATTCAGAGATGGTGGTTCAGGTAGAAGACGTGCTGAACGATATACAAGAGTTGTAGTGCAGGAAATACTTCTTTGGGATTTTACTTTGTCCTGAAGGATGAATATATAAACTAGAATTATCTATCTAGTTCCTAATAATTGCCTTCGGGGTTACTTACCAAATTTTCCCATTTTCACCTAGAGGGATGTGACAATACGTTATTTTCCTCTGTTCAACTCTTTTGTTTTCTTGCTTTAATCTCGTCCGTCGAAGTATGATTTACCTATACGTAGGTTCTTTTTTACTATCAACTATTTATTTCTGTTTCTCTTGCATGTTTCGAGTTTTAACATCTATTTCTATATTGCTCAATGCATGGTGAGCCCTTAGAGCCTGTTTGGCCAAAGTACTTTTGTTCTAAAGTGCTTTTCGAAAAAGTTTTGCAAAGAAGCAGTTTGTGCTTGGCCAATTGATTAAGCAGTGCTTTTTGCAACCAAATTGTGTTTGGCCAATCATTCCAGGAAGCACTTTTGAATATCAAAATACATGAAAGGATTGTGAAGGTTCATTTTGCATTAGTATTACTTAAAGGAAATTTTACCTCCTATAGCAAAGGTATACACCCTATTTATTATAAACAAAAATTATTCTAAAAAATTATTTTATATAGCTACCTTTTATATTTTATAGCAAAATAGGTATTTATGGTATATACTACAATTGAGGCATGAAATACGCTATTTATGTTTTTCCTCTCTTTCTTTCAATTAACATACGATTCTCTCTCATTTTTTTTCTTTTTTTTTCTCTCTTAATTCTCTCTCTTCGAGCAAAATAGGCCGAATCCTTTAGGGTTACTGTAATTGAATCTCTTAGCTTCGTCGATCCTCTCAAGTTTCTTATCAAGGCTTATGAATTGTTTTCCCCAAAAGATCGAGCTTACCTCATCTCAGTTCAATCTGCTCATGAACCTGAATCATTTGCTGAAGCCTCCAGATCTGCAAGATTTCTTCCTTTGAAAATTCTCCCCATACGTGGGGTTTCTTATCTTGCTTGGTGACATACCCAATCAAGTTTGCAAATCCTTTGTGAAAGGTTACGTTACACTGTCTTCCTTCGAACTGGTTAAATGCTTGCCTTATTCTTTTGGTTGCATTGTTCTTTGAAGTATTGGAGTTCTTTATTGCGATGTATACAGTCAACACAAGAAGTCTTGGCCGGAAAACGCCATCTCCGGCGAATTTTTTTCTCTTCTTTGCTATTTAGTCACATACAATGATACATATACATTGTATTCTATACAAAGTCATTCAAACACATTATATTTTTGTATAAATATATTTTTTTGCATGTATTTATGTATTTCGAAGGTCTGTATTTTTTTAATACAGCTGAATACACATGTATTCATGCATACTGTACATACAGTAAGCATGAATACATGATATAAATATTGAAATACACTGAATACAAATATTAAAATAGAACATAATATAAAGTGAGTACATTTAATTTTAAAATATAGTGAAATATAGTAAAATACACTGAATACAAATAGAAATACAATGAATATAACCAATGAAATATACTGAATACAGTAGTAATAACTTGTATTAGGAATAAATACTGTTAATACAAATACATTTGAATACTCTGAATATAAAATAGCGAATCAGTAAATACAAATGTTGAATCTAATGAATAAAACAGTAAAAAATAAATATTGAAGCACACTAAATACAAAAGTTAAATACAACAGTTATATACAATTGAAAAATCATTCTAATTAATTGCATTGATAATGAGGCATGTTAGAATTGATTTTGTTGAGTTATATTAGGAGTATATCACGTTAATAAATATTATTTCCGTTATTAGATAACTGGACAGACATATTTTTAAGGTGATTGCCGTTACCGTATTCATGAATACATGGCGCAAATACATGTGAATACATGCGCGTACAAATGGACTGCCCTGATTTTAGGCGTTTTTTGCTATACAGCAACGCGAATACAACGAATACACTACCGTAACAACTGAATAGTAGCTATAGGAAGTAATTATGTGTATGATAGCTATAGAAAATTAATAGCCACTAAACAATAGTGGTTTCTGAAAATTTCTTACTTAAATGAGATAAATAAATAAAAATATTATTATAATAAAAATATAATTTAAAGGTTTCAATCAATATAGAGTATAGTTATTCCTAATCGATAGAATTGGGGTATCTAGTAGGAGTATTACTTATTGTTTACATGATGATTTTAATATATCAAAAATATCACTCAATATAAATTAAAAAATCTACTCTTATAAATGACTATATAGCAAAAGAGATCTATTTATAGTAGAGAGAATATTTCAAAGAGAAATAGGAGAAATAGAATAAAAATATAAAAGAATAAAAAAGAGAGGAAATGTATGGTAAAAAGAGAAAAAAATAAAAATGTTAAATTAATGAGGGATAATTTAAAAATATATATTTAATATAAGGATATTCTTGTCTTGAATAAATTAATTTTCTGTTTTTACTTCTATTTGTTGGAAAAAATTTCTAGCTTCTTCCCAAAAGCAAAAAAAAAAAAAAAAAAAAAAAAAAAAAAAAAAAAAAAAAAAAAAGTCTTCTGCTACTGCTCAAAAATACTTTTTTATTTTTATTTTGGCCAAACATCTCAAGTTTTTCAAAAAGTACTCTTTTATTTAAAAAAAAATATTTTTTGCTTCCCAAAAGCTTGGCCAAACGGACTCTTAATCTTCTGACATATATAGAAAGCGCATTGGGTTATAAATTTGATTTGCGAATCATTGGATGAAACAATAGAAAGTGGTCAAAAATGCCTACGAAATTGCAGTGATTTCCCCTAAGGGACTGGTCTTTAGATATGTCCCTGTTTTTTACTTTGTTACAAAAATAGGTTTCTTCTCCAAAAACACCATAGTCCTTCATTATTTGGAAGCTTTATATTCTTAGTTCTTCAATATTAGAAGTGTTTACCCGAAAAATTGGATAAAGTTAAATTTGTATATGGTTCTAAGGATATGTGATATAATTTGATACAAATCGTATAGAGAAATAGAAATACATGTATTCTTGACTATGAGAATGAGACTAGTGAGCAAGAAGAACGAATAAGATAAAGTGAAATAAACATAAAGGGATATCTTTTAATATGAGAAGAAATCTTTTGTTATAATCTGTCAACCTCCCATGTGCTTACAGGAATTCCCCCATTTTATAGTAGAGGGATCTTACTTTATTCATAATAAAAAATATACAGCGGAGAACCCATGATGAATTGTCTCTTCCTCGATTCCCGTCAAGATTCTCTCCCCTAGTGCGGTTGCAACGGCTTTTGTCTGCGAACTCGATACTAGCTCGAGCTCGTTATTAGGTCGAGCCCTAGGCCTTGGTTCGAGTTTGACATTTGGGGTGAGTGTCAATCGGTCTGTGCGTCTCCGACTACCTTCGCGTTGCCTTGCAGTTCGATTTGGTCATGGACTCGATAATGATACCGAGCCGACTCCTCGATCAGTCTTGGAGTTCGAAGCTTGTTTGTACTATCTTCGGAATTCATCTCGAAGTCTCACTTCGGTCGCTTACCATTCGAACTCGATCAAACGTACGAGGGCCAAAATTTATTTCGACCGTATACAGATAGTCCCCTCGTTTCTCAGAAAGAATGTGGTGAGAAGCGATATGATTTTCAACGGCTCGATCGGGTTATAAGCTGACATTTTCACTGGGATCGATTATGACGTACGTGATAGCTGTCCCGTCGATTTAGTCTTTCAAGGTATTTAATGCATGTCAGACGGTGGTCGGCCACCGCTGATACTGAACCGCCATGGTATAAATCTATAAATAACCCCTCCATTTATCATTTACCACTTTTACATCTTCAATCTTCCAAATGTTCTTACTCTTTCTGCCTCTATTTCGCCGCTCGTAGAGCCACCTTCACCAGTGTTTGGCACCATCAACCTTTCATCTTCTTTAGCTTTTCTTTTTCTTATGTCAATGGCAAAAACTTCAAAAACCTTACCTCAAAAGGAGAAAGCTTCCTCTTCACGGCCGTCCGACGACAAGGCACCGGTGGAGCCGACTCCCCACGAGTATATTCCTGGCCCGTGTACTCTAAAAATTGATTTTAAGGTTGAAAATCCTTCATCGGTTCCGGGTCGATCTGAGCACGTGTCTATGTACAAGTGCTTGATAACAGAGGGCCATCTCGAGGCTGTGAGGAAAGACTGCAACTGGGGTCCTGATGTTGTATTGCAAATTCCCTCTTCCGAAGAGAGCATCACCACTTATGTGGAGGGTTTTTTAAGTATTTATACTTACCCCTTCACGTTGGTCTCGTCGATCCAGTGATCATTGATTTTTGCAAAAGATATCAGGTCTCCCTCGATCAAATTCATCTTTCTCTATGGCACATAGTAATCTTACTTCGCTTCTTCTCCAACAAGGCCGGGGGGCTGGATTTCACCCTAAATCACCTCATACGATTGTATCGGCCTCAAATCTTTCGAGGACTAATCAGGTTCCATCGTCGGGCATCGAAAGCTTTAATGTTGAGCATCGACGAAGACAAGGATCGGGGTTGGATGGGCCGTTATATTCGGGTGAGGACCCGTGACCTCATCCTGGAAGAGAAGATGCTGTTCCCCGAGGAATGGAATTTCAACCGTAAGTGATTTTCATAAGGCGTTGCTTTTCGTATCTTTCTCTGATTCTATCTGATATCTT